TGTGTTTTGTCGACCTGGAGAAAGCATCCCGCGCAACAGTCTCTGGGCATGCCTGCTAGCATGTGGAACCGATGGCCAGTTGCTACTTTCCATCTAATCACTATATATTGATGGCAGGTGCTGCGTCAGAGTAAATCGCACCAAGTTGAAACCTTTTAGCGTTGTTAGTGGTCGCCTCCAAGGCCGGACTGCTTTCTCTCCCCCCTCACAAAATACTTTATGTTGTGCATGGATATCGCTGCCAAGGCGATCAAGCGCGGGAGAGGTGGAGACGAGTAGTTTTCTGCTTGTAGAGGACCTTGTTGTGTTACATTTTAGGAAACTGATCTCTAGCGCTCTCTGAAAAGGTTCCCTCTGAGTGCAGCGTGACCGGTTTGCTTGTGAACGTGTCATGAGAAGCCTAGAGCTTTCCCGCTCCCTTGTTCGTTGCTCCCTGCAGATAAATGAAGAAGCAGTGGAGCATTTCGAGAAGTTCGCGTACCTCAGTGTCAGGAGACTGACCGATGAATTGCAATGGCCAGCAGCGTTCAGCGTGAATTGGACGCAACCGCTGTTATTAAAGCAAAACTGAGTCTGAAGGCTAAGCTGTCTGTGTTCAAGTCGGTCTTCATCCTCATGTTTATTTATGATCATGAGTTGTCGTTCTTGACTACGATCCCTTGTACAAACGGATGAACTGATTTTTGTGAGATGAATCGCTGGCCTCACGCGTCTCAATATGCTCTATACTTCAGATATCCTGGAGAGTCTTGGCGTACTGTCGTTGCTTCCAGGTTGTGAAGTTGCTGCTGAATTGGATTGGGAACGTTTTGCGAATGCTTTAAGAAGGAAAGGCGAAACAAGTACTACATTTGCAACCGACTGGCCGAAGAACACGTTGACGGCGGAGAATGACCTGGCGCAAAAGACTTGGCAGTCTTTACTCGAAACTCGGGTATCTAGCTGGGAACGTTGAATTCAAACGTTGGTACAGGATTGGGAGCATTGGAGACACTGATTTGTTTGCCTCCGCGACCAATAAGCGGTCATCGAAACTGACTTACTGGTTACGGTCAGGCTACGGTAGCTTGATCAGGATTATGATAACCTGTTTTCAGCCTTGATGCTGGCCTGTACTTTGTTAACTAAGCGTTGACATTGGTATGGATGGAGGGTAGGCAATGGCGCATAGGGTAGTCATTCAACTTTGAACACTAAATTGATGGTTAGGATCGCGGTTTAAAGTTTTCTTTAGTAAAAAACTCTTGAGTAAAAAATTCACCCCACGGTGTTTCGGTGCCACCAGTCAGGAAACGGGCTTGTTGTTGTTAAGTCTTTATCAATCGAGGCAGCGTGATTTTGTAATGTGATCATCTAGAGAATTTCTAAAACACTGTGTTTGGCGCTTGTGCTTCGCAGCTGCAGTACGTTTTGAGATACCTGATAGCTATCTAAATCAGCACAAGATGTAACCCATAAAAGTATGAAGATCTAAATCATCTACCTTCTGCTGTGTCTTCTGGGTCGCGCAGTCTATGGACTGCATTTTCGATTCTCAGCCGATCAAATCAGCGTTCGTATTTCGAGGTAGATAGACAAATTACAACTAAGAGGGCCTGAAACAAAAGTCTATCATTTGGCTAGGAGTAAGCTGAAGATGCGTCTAAGCAAAGAATGCTCAAGATGTTTGGAAAGATGCTTCTTCGCTGAAGAAGCACATTATGAGAGTGCAATACGAGGTTGAATCCAAAGCTGAAGATTTATTTTCAGAAAATTAGCACCCCGGCTAAGCGAATTGAAATGGACACAATCTCTGCGCCAAGAATCTCTCGTAAAATTGTTCCCATAATTGACACTCATCGTGTGAGTGCAAAGGAAACCGATTCAATACGATTTTAGACTTCGCTTTTCTCCTCATTTGTGCCTGTAGACATTGAACCAATTCAGTTCGGTTTATTATTTGTGGTGAGACAGACAAAGTTGCATCGTTTATCATCGTGCAATCAACTACCTCATCGGGGTAAGTAAATTAATAAACAGCCTACCTCAGTTCATAAACTCTTCCATTACCTTTTTTTCGTTGCTGTTCGACACTGTTTAGGGCACAGCATTTGCTATACTCTGCGGTGATGAGCATGATTCTAGTTGCTTGAATTTTTGGAAAGGTAGTGAGCCCACTAGACATGAAAGGGGTAACACTGCAGTTTTATCACTAACAGACAAATAATGTTTGTTTTTAAAGACTTTTTCACCTTTCAAAAAATGGACGTCTGATCTTATAGCGGTTCATATTTTGATGATAAGCTTACAATATGATTACGATAAGTTGGACCAGACCATAAACATTCTAGGCTATTTCGATTGGTAATCCAAAGACTGTCTTCTGGATGAAGTTGTCAATTGCTGTTGATCATATATAAAATACGATTAATTGAGCTGTGAGGCTAATGCGCACGTGAGCTGGATGAAAAGCGAAAATGAATAACAACCGGAAAGTAGCTGACTTAGCAGCCTGATACTCGCTGTAGATAACTAGATGACTCGTATGACTCGTGGTGCACTGCTTGCAGATTTTCAGTTATTTAAGATGCAGCGAAGTATGTTCAATTGCTTATACTATTTATCCAGCAGATTTTATTCATTTCGCTTTCTGCAGACATCTGCGAGTAAAATTTCTTCAAGCATTTTTCGTGTTTGCAATTTTTTGTTTTTAGGATTTGTCCCGCTTAAATCGTGACCTCTCAAAAGTGATTCTGTTGGATTGGGATCCTCGGTCATTTCAACTTCAACCTGAAAACGCTCTTCGTCTTCCTAAATGGGAAGGTTCAGACGACGACACGATACTGATGGATTTGGCTGCTCTTTTACGAGGTGAGAACCTTTCCTATGTCTACTGTTAAGGAGTTACCCTGGTTCATTATGATATTAGCCGATACGATGTATTCCAAACTCAGTTGTGCGTTTGAAACCGACAATCTTTTGCGTAATACCATCGACTGAAATCACAACGAGAAACCTTAGCATCAGTCGGTAGAACCGTTCAGTTTAGCTAGCAGTACTTATAGCTGAAGCACAAATACCCACCTGTACATCTGACCTCTTGCTACTAAGGAAATCCGCAAACTGCGTACTCACATTCAGGACAAATACGTGCAACCTAACTGAGGCGATTGGGTTATAATTTAAACCCAAGAAAATGTAGGGTATGAAAGTGCCAAATGCGACCAATGACTAATGGATTTTATGATATATTTTCCGATTGAAGATGTCGATTACGTTAAGCAGCTGTGTGGTTTTTTGCTTCTTCATTTATCCTCGAGAAGCCGACGAATCATTGCATTTAAATCAGTCTTGCTCAGTGATGACAGGTATGATCGAAAGGTGAACAGTGGCATCAGATAGACAAATTAAATTTCAAAAAGTGGTATGAAGTGTGAAATGGTAGAAATACAGTAAGAAAAAAATTTCGAGACGAAAATTTTCGTCTAGAAAGCGGCTGGATTATATTCCAGTGGTTCGTTCATCCTGGAACCAGCTGCGCCCTTGAAGGATCACTATGATCCTGAAGTTTTCAACAGCGCTATTTATGAATTATCCTCACAGTTCAGTATGATTCAGTCACAGACAAACAGATACTCTTACGATCAACGGCTTAAGAAAGCTGTCAGGAGCATCCAGAGATCGGTGCTACGTTGGATTCTATGAAATGTGAAAAGTGAAATTCGTTTTAAAAGTGAAATAAGATCTCTCCAAAACTTTGTTATTATAGGAAATGTCTACCATGAGATATGGGAGGACATATGATTAGCTGTACGTTGTGATCCATGTTACTTTATACTCTCTATAAAAATTCTTTCAGCTATCGCAACCAGCGGCACCAAAGATGTGCGACCCATACTGGAGTACTACAACAGTTTCGTTGATCCAATAGAGGCGTTCAGAGAGAAGCAAAAATTTCTTTTGGTAAGTTTTTCTATCGTTGTTTTGCCTAGATTCAAAGGTGTTACTGCTCCACCTATAACGTTGACGGTTTTTGGTTCCATTGCTCTACTGTCATTCTAGCGAAACTATTCTAAACTATTCCGATCCTGAAAAGTAACTGCTACGATATTTATAACCTGCAAGTAAGGCAGCAAGCAACGGGTCTCGGACAAAGTACTCCCATTGAAACGCTAGTTGTACCTGAATTAGGCGAACAATGCCATCGAATCCAATTGCTTTCGTATCTCATCTTCACTGACTTTAAATCTGCATCTGATTTCAATGCATCATCCAGCGATATCGTGAATCTGAAAGTTCCCAGGAACACCTAATCACCATATTGTTCTTTGAAAGAGATGTACCAGGGAAAGATGAGTTGAAGAATGACTCTCTTGATGGTTCGTTTTGACGTTGGAGTTGGAGTTTCTCGACTTCTTTTATGAAACAATCTGATCTTGGCGAAGATAAGGGTCTTTTATAAAAGACTGACGCGATTTAAGATTTGAGGCAGTTTTTTGCTCTCCTTTAGTACACAGATGATATTGTCATGGTGAGTAATATTGGAAGCGGGATTCTTCAAATCTCGGTTTCCATGTACAGTGCAGTTATGAAAGCCGGTTTTTTCTTTAACTGCCTGCAGTCAGATGTTATTGTGGACCCCCATCTGGCGCAACGTATTTTCAAGTAAAATATGGAGACGAAACGTTTGAGGTAGTCGATTACTTTTAAGATCTTACCTAGTTATGACTTAGCTAATTGGAGTTGAAAGGAGAATAGTTCTTGCTTCTGCTGTTTTAGTAGCTTGCAAGATTTTTTTTTGGATTGACGGTGGAATAACTTTTTTGCAATAAAGACCTTATGTCCCATGCCTCTTTCACCTAAAGTTGTTACACCGCATAAAGACTGCCGTTTTAGTAAAATGAAGGCAGTGTCCTCGGTAGAACTTGAGATTAGGGAGTTAGGTTGTACCGTTTAGAAGGGTGAATTTAGCATATGTTTTTCTGTCTGCTCACGGACTTTTCATGTGAAAACTAAAGTGCGGAAGTGTCGCTCAGAATACCCGCATCAGCATGCTTAAACATGATACACAGACAAAGCAAAGTACTTCTTTCTACGGCACTATAGCCTTTTGCGACGGCTGTTGAAAAATTTAGAATTCGAATACAGTCTCTAATAAATGATGCACTTTACCTGTAAGCAGCTCAATTTAGCGGTCATGATCATAAGATGCATATTCAGCGTTTCAGCTCGCATATGTACGAATTTTACTTTTGAGTGGTTACTTTTGTTGTCAAACAAGTAACCAACCTCCATAATCGATAAATGCAAGAACAGTAAGCTAAAGCGAGCTTCTTATTTCTTTCTTTTTCACTATCTTGCAACTATTAAACTGTTGACAGCCTTAAAATATGCTGTTGCGATTATTTCTTAGAAATATGAAATACGGGATTCGGATTATTTTGTTTTGTTCCTGTTTGGTGATTGCATAATCCTACTAGTATGGTCTCGAAGCTTCAAACTAAGTGTAACATTGTTGTTGTAATTGCTGCCTTCGTACAAAACAGAAGTTTGTACTTGCAATAACAGATAGTTTCTAAGTGTTGATGATGAAGAGAAGTTTTGTTGATAGAGGCATGCAGATTTATGCCAGATCCTGCATTTCGAAACCGTTAATTTAGTAATTTATATAAAATATCTGTATAAATTGCTACTTTCTGGTTATAGTTATATAGCGATAGAAAGAAATTGCATTTGAGAAGTTCTAGATGCATTTCGAATTGTATAAAATGGCTAACGATGAATTATGCTGTTATAGGAAGAGCAGGAACGTCAGTTCAGTGCTCAGAGGAAGGACTCGCTAACGAAACCATATGCTTCCCGTCTATTTCGACTTAATAAGGCGATGTGAATGTAAAACATAACAAACAGGGATCAGCATGCTTTATCGCTGTAAAGAAAACGCGGTATTTATGCTCTGCATGCAATCTCAGCGACCCCAGTGCTTTGTAAATATTTAGATAAATTCTTTCTTGTCTTTCAGTTCGTTTCCAGGCTGTTACAGACGACGTTGCCAGTTTGTAAAAACAACTGAAATTACGAACTT